CCTAAGAAATTTTTAGAGATGGTGGAAGAATTAGAAATTAGTGGATGTGTGGAGGAAGAGGAACCCAGCAATATCACAGTTCACTTTCTACTCCTGCCCACACAAATCATGGTCCAGGTTAGATATGGCCTGGGTAAATAGTGAGTTATGTAAGGAGATCCAGGATATAAAGATTTTGGCCAATACGTCGGCAGATCATAACCCGGTACAGATAATCTGGAAAAATAGTTGCTACAAAAAAGGTAGATGGACACTCAATTCGCAATTATTGAAGGAAGAAGAATATATTCAAAAAGTTAAGGAAGAACTGACCAGTTTATTTAAATATAATAAAAAACAGGATACCTCATTACAGAATCTATGGGATACAATGAAGGCATATTTAAGGGGAATATTGATAGCCTTTATAGCAAATAGAAATAAAGAAAGAAAGGGAAAATGGAAAGCTCTAACAAAAAGAATAGAGAAAATGGAAAATAAGCAAATAGAAACCCCGGGGGACGAGCAAATTAGAAATGAATTAGCGTTAGTTAAACATGAAATGAATATTTTAGACCAAGAGGAATTAAAATATTACTATATACAAAACAAACTTATTCTGAACATGCAAATAAATCCGGTAGGTGGCTGGCATATAAATTAAGGAAAGAAAATCAGAAAAAAACGATATATCAATTAGAGGATAAAATTGGAATAATAGAAATGGATTTGGAGAAAAAAAAGGAAATCGTAAGAGAATATTTCGAGGATCTTCATAAACAAGAGGAAGTTGACTTAAATAAAATAGAAGAATATCTGAAAGAAGGAAACCTGTATCCATTATCGGATGATAAAAAGGAGCTGTTTAATCAAGAAATAACCTTAGATGAACTGATGGCTGTGATTCAAAAACAAAAAAGAAACAAAACGCCAGGTCCAGATGGGTTACCAAATGAATTATATAAAGAGATAGGCGTCATATTAGAGAACATGTCTGCAATGAGGTATTACTGGAAGCTAAAAGTCCAGAATCATGGAAGGAAGCTCATATAGCACTGATTCCGAAAGAGGGTGCAGATGCCAACCAAATAAAGAATGATAGACCAATATCCCTTTTAAACTCAGATTATGAAATTTTTATGGCGGTGATCGCGGAAAGATTAAAGTTAGTACTTAGTAACAAAATCCATTTGGATCAGAATGGTTTTCTTCCCACGAGGCAGATTAGAGGTAATACAAGAATAATAATAGACATATTAGAATATTATGAAAAACATCCAGGAAACCGATTGTCCTTGGTCTTCCTGGATGTGCAAAAGGCCTTGGACAACTTAAATTGGGACTTTATGAAGAAGCAGATTGACTTGACGAACTTTGGAGGTAATTTTGTAAAAGTGTTAAATGCAATTTACGCCACACAAAAGGCTAATGTATTAATAAATGGAGAGATTACTAAATCATTAAAGATAAGGAAGGGTGTCAGACAGGGATGCCCTCTTTCACCTCTGCTTTTCGTAACAATTTTAGAAACTTTGTTGGATAGAATTAGATCAAATAAAGAAATTAAAGGAACTAAAATTAAAAGTCAAGAGTATAAATTACAGGCTTTTGCAGATGATATGGTTTTTGTTATTATAGAAGACCCAATAGACTCAGGACCAGCTTTACTAAATGAAATAGATAAATTCGGTAAATTAGCAGGATTAAAAATTAATAAGGAAAAAAACTAAAATGCTAGTTAAAAATTTAACAAATAGTAAACAAAAAAAATTGGAAGAAAAGATGGGATTACAAATTGTAAATAAGATCAAATACTTAGGCATATGGTTAAGAGCTAGAACATTAAACCTGCGGGAGGATAACTACACCAAATTACTGAAACAAATTGAAAAGGATTTGGAAAATTGGAATAAGATGCAAATATCATTATTAGCCAGAATAGCAACAATCAAGATGAATGTTTTACCTATAATATTATATCTGTTTCAAACAATTCCGATACTATTGGATAATTTTTTTTTCAAAGAATTTGATAATTGTGATGAAATTTATTTGGGCAGGAAAAAAAAACGAGAATAAAAAAAATATTTACAAGATAACAAAAGCAGAGGTGGATTTGGACTCCCTGTCTGGGAGATCTAATATAAAGCGGCGGCATTAGCGTGGATAAAAGACTGGATTAGTCCGAGGAACAATAGAATATTAAAATTGGAGGGTCACGACTTACAATTCGGTTGGCACGCATTTTTGTGGAACCCGAATAGTAAAAACAATCTATATTTTACTAGACATGTACTCTGAAAGTCTTTAATTAAAATTTGGGCTGATATTAAAAGAAATCATTATACTAAAATTCTGAGGTAGTTTTCAACAATGGAGGCAATGTTTCATTTAAACACGATGGATATCAGTAAAAAAATTAACTACCATCAAATATTAGATAAACAGGGAAGAATTAAAATGATACAGGAACTAGAAGCACAAAGGATAGTCATTGATAATTGGTCATATTTTCAAGTAAAATTGAGATATAATAAAGATGTAAAGGAATATGGAATTGTGGTAAAAGATACGCATTTAGACAAAACACTTTCAAGTCCTGAGAAAGGGTTGATCTCTAAACTATATAATTATTTATCAGAACATGAAATGGCTGAGAGAATTGTGAAAGGAACTATGTTAGCTTGGGAAAAAAAATTTGGTTATAGTATAGATCTGGATGACTGGGAAGAAATTTGGCAAAAAAATCTCGTATTAACTAAATCAGTAACACATAAGGAGAATCTGTATAAAATGATGTATAGATGGCATCTGGCACCCTCTAGATTGGCCAAAATATTTCCGACAGCAAATCCATGCTGTTGGAAATGCAAAGGGAAATTTGGTACTTATTTTCACTTATGGTGGACCTGTCCTGAGATAAAGAAATATTGGTTAATTTGGTTATCTGGCCATCCACTTAATAACAGCGGCACGGATTTCATTAGCACAATATTGGAAGAAACCAAATGTACCATCAATACAAGTTGCTATTCAAAAAACGTATGAGCGTGCCCAACTGGAGAGGCTCACGCTCAAAATCAGTGGGAAGGATACAGATTACTACAGGATATGGGATAAATGGTACAATTGGGTAGATTATAAGGGGAAAACTTGCAAATGAACACAAGAAACAAATTATATTCAGCTGTCTGTATGAAATGTATAAGAATAACAAAGGTTTTAAATCCTCTTTTCTTTTACATTATTATATTACTATATCTTCTTATTATTTAAATATGAATGTATTATTAATTCAATAATAGTTATAAACCAATGAGAAGATTAGTAGAGTATTGTGGGTTACTTAGTGATTAAGATGTGATAGTAAATGAAAATGCAATAAATATTAGTTAGTACTGATTATTAGGACTTTTCAATTTCAATACCAATGTAAAGAGGAATGTGTTATTTACATACTATCGTTTTTGTATTTTTTAAATTTGTATGTTTTTAATTCTTGTAAACAAAGTTTACTTAAAAATAAATAAATAAAAGTTTAGAACTTTTAGTTTAAAACCAAACTAAACTTTAGAACTTAAAGCAACAAAAGGCAAGATGAGAAATAATGGATGGAAACTAACCAACCAAAGAGTCCCAAAGGTGCTTTTTTCAGGAGGCAACTGGACTTTGACTCATTTTGAAGACGTTTTCACTTTTCACCCAAGAAGCTTCTTCAGCTCTGACTGGATGGTGGGGAATGGAAGCATTTATATTCCTTGCAGACAGCTGGTCATTTGAATTCTTTTTAGAGTCATTGAGGCCACTTGGAGGTTTATCTGTGTCCTCAGGGTCACCTGAGTAGTGCAAGTGGTTCCTATATTCTGCAATTTTTCTGGAAATCTATTCATATAAATCTCCAAGTGGCCTCAATGACTCTCTAAAAGAATGCAAACGACCAGCTGTCTGCAAGGAGTATAAATCCTTTCCCTTCCCCACCATCCAGCCAGAGTTGAAGAAGCTTCTTGAATAAGAAGTGAAATGTCTTCCAAGAAAAATCAGAAAGTCCAGTGGCCTCTTGAAAAAGCACCTTTGGGACAACCTTGACCTGGATAATGGAGAATCTCCATAGACATCCAAGGTCCTTTCCAATTACTGCTGTTGTGACAACTGCCTTGCAAAGTAGGCCGGCTGAGAATCTACCACAGCTAAGGAGACATGAACCAGGCTCTCCTTAGCGCTAATCCAATACTTTTCCAATACTTCTGAGATGACGAAACTCTGAGGTACACAAACATTCAAAATGGTGGGGGGGGGAGAGTTGTGTAGCTGTTTTGACCCACTCACCCCCAAATCCAAAGCCCAGGTATTGCTAACCTGACCGCTGCTCTCATTTTTGTATTTTTCAGCAGCTTGGGGGGAGCACAGCTACCATTTGTAAATGCTCCAATACTGGAAGTTTTTAAGAAGAGATTGGACAACCATTTGCCTGAAATGGTATAGGATTTCCTACCTAAGCAGGAGGTTGGACTAGAAGACCTCAAAGGTCCCTTCCAATTTGTTCTGTTCTATTCTTTGCTACTGTACTGTATTCTCAGTCATCTAGCTCATGGCTGTCCCAAAGATGCTGTGTTTTTTTTTTTCCCCAAAAAGGCAGCTGTTCTTTCTTGGTTTTTCCTTGAAGATGTTTCGCTCATCATCATTTCTGAAGAAGCTTTTTTGGCTGAGAGTCAAAACTTCTTCAAGGAAAAAAGAAAAAGCCCAGTTGCCTTTTGAAAAAGCATCATTGGGACATAGCTACCTTTTTAAAAAAAAGAAAAATCCTTCCCCTGGGAGTATCACACCCCTCCGAACAATTCTGCCTCTCTCTATTGCAGGGCTCTCCAAACTTGGCAACTTTGGAAGACTTGTGCACTTCAACTCCCAGAATTCCTCAGACAGCATAGTCTAAAACTTCTTGACTTCAACTCCCAGAATTCCCCTGCCAGCATACTTTAAGACTTGTGGACTTCAACTCCCAGAATTCCCTGGCCAGCATAGACTAAGACTTGTGGACTTCAGCTCCCAGAATTCCCCAGCCAGCATAGTCTGAGACTTGTGGACTTCAACTCCCAGAATTCCCCGACCAGCATACTTTAAAGACTTGTGGACTTCAACTCCCATAATTGGCTGGGGGAATTCTGGGAGTTGAAGTCCACAAGTCTTACAAAGTTGCCACGTTTGGAGACGCCCGCACTGCTCTATTTCATCCAGCCCGTTCCGACCCAAACTTCTTAAAACTGCGGGGCTCAGTAAGCTGAAACATCCCCCACCCCCCACCCCACCCCCAGGGTTCCAGATCTTTCTTCTTCCACATCGGCTGCCTTTAGGGGAAGAGGGCTCCACCCTGCGGAAGAAACCGGGAGACTTTGAAAGCAAAGTCTTAATTTTAAGCAAGCCACGATCGCCACACAAGCCACGATCGCCAGCCTGCAAGCCTTCGGTAGAACTTTGCCACCTTCCCCCACCCCTGAAATCACTTCGCGGGGGGGGGGTTCTTTTGGGGGGTCCTCCCCTCCCCCCACCTCGCCCCAGATCCCCTTTTTTTCCTCCTTTTTTCTTATTTTTTTTTTAATTATTATTTTTGTTGCAAACCCTCTTCGTCGTTGCATTTCAGCAAAGGGTGCAACCCGCGTCCCCCCCTTTTTTCCTCTCCCCGGTTTTTCACCGCCGCCGCCGCCGCCTGCAAGCGGACGAGGAGCGGCAGCTGGCGGCTCCCTCTCCCCCCCACCAACCCGCGCCCTTCCCGGGGTTGCTGCGAGAGAGCAGCCCGGCCTTCTTCTTCTTCTTCCCCGGCAAGGCAAACTTCCTCCCTCTGAACTCCCACCCGGCCCATCCAAAGAACGGGAGCCCCGCCCGGTAGAAAGAAAAGTCCGGCCACCTCCGGGCTCCTCGTCCCGGAAGGCGCCGCCGCCTCCCCGCTGCCCTTTTGCACTCACCCCGATCTCCCTCCCACGAGCTGGGAAATTCAAAGGCCACTTTCCCACGGGAGGCGGGGCCGGAAGTGACCGGGACTGTTTACATCCCGCCCTCCCTCCTCGCCGCAACTTCCTGTCCTCTCTAGGAAGCGGGTGGGGGTGGGGTGGGGTGGAAAGGAGGGCTGGGGTTGAAAAGGTTGAAAAGGGGAAGGAGGAGAGACAGGCGGGTTATATTGTAAGGCAGGGCGGGGTCTCCAAACTTTAAGGCTTTGTGGACTTCAACTCCCAGAATTCCTCAGCCAGCACAAGACAGCCATGTTGTGGCTCTAAAGCAAGGGACCTCCAAACTGGGCAACTTTAAGGCTTGTGGACTTCAACTCCCAGAATTCCTCAGCCAGCATGACAGCCGTGTTGTGGCCCTAAAGCAGGGGGCCTCCAAACTTGGCAACTTTAAGGCTTGTGGACTACAACTCCCAGAATTCCTCAGCCAGCATGACAGCCATGTTTGGCCCTAAAGCAGGGAACCTCCAAACTTGACAACTTTAAGGCTTGTGGATTTCAACTCCCAGAATTCCTCCTCTAGTCATGTTAGCTCAGGAATTCTGGGAGTTGAAGTCCACAAGCTGTCAAGTTTGAATATCCTTGTTCTACTCCAACTCCCTGCTCAAGTAGGAGAACCTATAACATGTCAGACAGGTTGTTGTTCAGTCTAAGACCTAGAGTATTGCATCTAGTTTTGGTCACCACACTATTAAAAAAGATGTTGAGGCTCTAGAAAAAAGTGCAGAGAAGAACAACCAAGATGACTAGGGGCCTGGAGACTAAAACATACGATGAACAATTGCAGGACTGGGCAGGGTTAGTCTAGTGAAAAGAAGGACTAGGGGAGACATGATAGCAGTCTTCCAATATCTGAGGGGTTGCCACAGAGCTGAAGGGGTCAAGCTATTTCCCAAAGCACCTGAGTAACCAGTTTACTAACTTATCAACTGCAGCGATTCACTGAACAACTGGGACAGGAAAGGTCATAAAATGGGGCAAAACTCACTTAACTGTCTTGCTTAGCAATGGAAATTTGAGGCTTAGTTGTGATTGTGAGGACTACCTGTATACATGCACTCTTGAACTGTTGCCTTCTGGCAGAAGGTACCGAACAATTAAAACTCGGACCACATGTTTTCTGAATAGTTTTTATCCCAGAGCTATAATTGCACTTAACAATGAACTTAAGGACAACCATCAGTGAGCTGTTGGACAATATTACTTGGTTTGTTGTGTGGATGCTTGTGTGTTTTTAGGGGGTGGGGAACCTTGGCAGTTGGGGAAGTGTTTGGGGATTGTCGTGTGTGCATGTTGGGTCTAGTCTCTAGGTGTTGTGTGAGTTTTGTTGTATGTATACTGTGTACAATGACAGGAATTCAATCAATTCAACCAATCAATGCCACACAAGCTCCATGGGGAGGGGATTTGGACAAGTCTCCTTCCTCAGCCCCAGAACTAGTAACAAATAGTGGGGAAGGGTTGAACTAGGAATGGGGAGACCATGATTCTGGGCATTTTAAGCTAGTCCTCCCCTCAACACCAGAGAAGGGAGGAATTCAGACCTAAGGGAACCTCTGCATAAAAATGATGGAAAATATTAAATTTTGCCATACAATTCATTTTGAACCTGTAAATCTATATTTTACAAGCAATAGCAAAGGCAGGCAGTGGATTCACTCACACCCTCTAAAAATTTCCACCGGTGTCAGGGTTAGTTTTAGGTGGGGCACAATTTTTTTAAAAAAAGTTTACTTTTTTCAATCATGAATTCATGGAACCCAGTTGAGAAATGGTGCTCTGAACAGTAACCAAGTCTAAAAAAAAGTTCAACCGCTACCACTTCCTTAAATAGTTTTCGAAATAGTGTGTGTGTTTAGGTCTTTATTTTGCTATGTGCCAACTTGCCGCAATTGTGATTTTCGTCACACATCTGCTTCTTATGGATTGCACTGATTTTCCAAGAGTGGATTACCTATCCAAAACACAAAATTCTTTCTAAATCAAATTTACACTTAGGGCAAAGCTTAAGCAACAACACGAAACTCCCCATGGAGAAATTAGAAGGGAAAAACGTCATTCTGAGACTGCCACTATACACATCTACTAATCAACCTAAACTAATCTGATCTACTAATCTGATGTGGACTTTGTTCTCCAGAGATCCTTCTGGCTCCCCCACCCCAACTGATGACCTTCCAAAAAATTTTGAAAACCTGATTCCCCCCCTCCCCCCTCCCTCCCTAGGATTTGGGAAAAGGTGGCTGCTTTCCAGCACATCAATTCATTCTCTTTTCCAAACACATGGCCGTCCGCGTCTTGCTTGGACTACGACTCCCGAAATGCCTCGCGCTAAGTTGGAAGACGCAGCGAATCGCAAAGCCATTCGAGGCGCCGGTTCGTGGAACGAAAAGGTTGGGGACCACGCAGGGGAGGAAAAGAGAGGACTGCCCCACCCCACCCCTCCGCGCAGCTTCTCCTGAGGAGGGGACACTCTAGGAAAAGGAGGAGGAGGAGGTGGTTTTTCCTTTCTTCTTTTAACCCTTCGCAGTCTGCGCTGCAGAAGAAACCGCAGAATGACAAATCCATCTCTTCCTCTTCTTCCTTAGTAGTTTAGTTTAGTTTAGTTTAGTTTAGTTTAGTTTAGCTTAGCTTAGCTTAGCTTAGCTTAGCTTAGCTTAGCTTAGCTTAATTTAGCTTAGTTTAGTTTAGATTAGTTTGTCAAGCATGTATGAGAAAACAAGTATAAGTATGAACATAGCATATAAACATATAAGTATAAACTGGTATACATAATAAATGCATAAGCACACAATTGTGCCTACCGTCCCTGTCCTATTGTCCCCAGTTATTAGTTCCCATTTCTTGTATTTAAACTTATGTTTATTCTTGTTTCTGTTAGATTGTAAGCTTTTGACAAATCAAATAAAATAAAATGAGTACAAATAAATGGGAAGAGTAGGACAGGGATGGTAGGCACGCTGGTGCGCTTATGCATGCCCCCTTACAGACCTCTTAGGAATGGAGTGAGGTCCATGGTAGATAGTTTTAAGATTAAAGGTTTGGGAGTTTGAGTCAAAAACAGTCAGGCAGTGAGTTACAGGCATTGACCTCTCCGTTGCTGAAGTCATATTTTCTGCAATCGAGTTTGTAGCGGTTTACTTTGAGTTTGTATCTCTTGTTACTTTGGCAACTTTGTGAGTTATTGTGGTTGAAGCTGAAGTAGTCATGGAAAAATTATCCTTTTGGGTTCAGTTCCAAGTGGGGAAAAAGACTCTGAAAACACGGAGGCTGCTTGGAAAGATGGTTTAATGGTGGACAGGATCACATGGCTTGGAGCTCCAAAGTGAAAAGGATGATCACGTGGCTTGGTGGGCATGGCTAGGTGGTCATGTGACTGGGTGGACATGGCCAACTCGACATCACTCATGGCAAGGTGAGGTGGCACCTTGCCGTGAGTGACGTCGAGTTGGCCACGCCCATGCGATTTGTGCGAACATTTGTGCATGCACAGATAACCGCAACACCGACCATCAGCCGTTTCTTAACTCAGCTGAGGCGCTGCAATTCACTCTGCTGTGCGAATCACCTGAGCTAAGAAACAACAGAATATAGGAGAGGTGAGAGGTGTGATGACTCGGGGCGTAGCACAAAAGCAACAAAGTCACAGAAGTAGGTAAAGTCCCTTTAATACCTCCAACTTGGCCCCCAATGTCCAGTTATCTCCGGCTGGAGAAAAAACTCTCCCAGAAATTCAGTCCAAACCCAAAGTACATATAAATTATAAATAAAAACCAACACAAACCACGCTGCAGCAATTAATGAGACAGGGCAGGATAAAGAATTTCAGACTTCAAAAGATAACAAAACATACGCAGTTGGGAGGACGCCAAACCCAGATAAGACTTGATAAAGAAAGGTAATTCACGCTTTGCTTCCAGCAAGGTGCTGTGCGCAAACGCCATTTTTAAATCCTGTTTTCCCAGCTGCAGCTAATGAAGGGAATCAGGGCCCTTTCCTCCCCTGTAACCCACATAACTCACGTTGCTCCCTTCTC